TACGAACCCTTTGTACGAACAAAAGTAAGAGAAATTTAGGATAAGAATACGAACATGTTCTTGCATGATGCCCAATGTTTCCAAATATGGCAAAATTTTATTTAGTAGCTTGAATCAGTGACCAATCTAAATGAAACTGGAAAGCTAAGCTTATTTAGCAGGATATATTTAGAATACAATGGAAACCAAACCAAGAGTTAGATTTGGTCCAACAATAACTAAAAATAACTTATGTTACTGACACATTCACAGGAGCTGTTTCTGTAAAAAACAATCCAAACTTTAACACGTGCTCGAATGATTCTGTGAAAATTATCTGCACCAGTATGAGCAGTAAAACCTGCCAGTCAGATGACAAACCTGTGGTGACGTATACCAGCACGTACTGTGGGTCGAACTAGTTCTGTAAGCAGCTCAAAGTACCTGAAGTATTCTGGATATGTCACACGGCCGAGCTCCACTGTGGGCCAGCTCCACTATCTTTTGCCTGGTAGAGTCAGGTAGAGGTCTCCCATTCACAAACACACCTCCAAGCTGGTTTACTCCACTGTGATCTAAACACACACACAAATACACACAAACACACACCAGAAAAACAGAGAAGGAAAGAGAGAGTGATTTAATAACAGGGAAAAATAAAGAACTCTCCAAAATATAGTAGGAGTAAAATACATGTGACTCAGAGAGGACGAAAAGAGAAACAATTATCAAAAACTACAAAGTGTTTCACTTTCTAAAAGCAGTTTCTCAGACATTTTAGCAAACGGCCGATGGAAGAAGATAATGTGGAAAATAATTTTCCTTTTTAGAACCAAAACCAGCAGAAACATCTGAGTGTCACTTCTCTAAGTTTGAAGCGAAGCTTGTAATCGTACGTGTGCTGAGGCCTGAACACGGTGAGGGTCCGCAGCTTTCTGACAGGAGTGGGCTGAGCCGCAGGGCTGGAGCTTAACCAGAGATTTTCACTCATTTAATTCTCTTTTGTTTTAATAACGGCTCTGCAGAGAAAGCATATTGCAAAGTGTTTAAACCTTTCAGCGGGACATTAGTAAATCATGAAAGCAGTCCAAACACACACTCATAGGTTTGCACAGCTATTGGGGACATTCCATTGACTTCCATTACATTTCTACAGCCTAACCCTGACCACAAACCCTAAGGCTAACCTCACAGGTGCCTACCTGACCCTAAAACTAACCTAAACTCAATTCACACCTTGGTCCTAAACCCAACCCCCAACCCACCAATGGCATTTAAACCAAATGGGGACTTGACTTTTGTCCCCAAATGCACCAGTTGTCCCCAAATGTAGGATTTTTGTCTTAAAATTGCCCCCAAAAGTCACCGAAGCCGAACCCATCCACACACACTCACACACACACACACACACACACACACACACACACACACACACACACACACACACACACACAC